GTGCTTTTCAGGAGGGAAAATGGCTACTTCTGGAGTATCTTGTGTGACATCATTTGTTGTTTTTATTTCAAAAGTTCTGAAATTTTCTAAGATTATTAAAAGTTGTACAAATAAAAGTACTTATACCTACATAATTTTTTATAGTCAACAAAGTACTTTTCAGGTTTCATCTTATTTATTCCTCACAACAAACGCATAGGTTAGACCTTTATAATTCCTATTTTACAAAGGAGGTTTGAGGCTTAGAAAGATTAGGTAATTTGCATTAAGCAAGTCAGTGGCACAGCCAGACTTAAAAACAAGATCTTATAGCTCTAAGTCCTAGGCTTCTTACAAAAGATTTAGTAAACAGGTTTTCCTCACACATGAATTACTGTTTTGTGTTCATAACATAAACCAATGGAGGTTGAAAGAAATGGTGAAAAGTTTAATGATGCTAAACATCTGTAAATGCAATGTATTAAAAAATAACAAGAACAGAAAATCTATAGTTCTATGGGTTTTTCAGTCTGTTGAGCATCAAATCATATTTCCCAATGAACCATCTGCTTCCAAATTTCAAGTTCCTATCCACTTAATAAGCCCCTCCATCAGTGAAATGAAAGGTACATGCATTGGAATTAACATATATGTGAATGTGTGTATAAGTTTTAAGATATTATACCTTCTCCTCAAGATGAACATTGATGGGGAAAAAAAATCAAATTAACATTCTTACTCCTGTGTAGACCAGAGAGAGGTAATGTCTTGTCCAGTGTCACCAGATTCAAAGAAGTGGGAATACAGGCTTCGATGTTTTCTCTCCATCCCCTACTGTATGTATCTCTTTAGCACTTTCTTATCTTTTTACCTGGCCAGGTAGGGGTTTAACCAGGTTGACCAGGAAGAGAGTGTGTATTTTTGCTGACATGGGGAACTTTTAGTTTGATTAGAACATCCAAAAATGGTCAGAAGGTCAGGGCTGTAAATTCAATTCTGTAAGACTCCTGCCTGCAGGTGGCGGCTGTGACTGTGTGGGTAACTGGTCTTCCCAATGAATGAGCAGTCAGTTTGGGTTTCTCCAAAGGGAACGGTGCAGGGAGCCTGGAGCAGAGCTGCGGATAATGCCTGAGATATTACTCGTCTCTAACGCTGCCCAGAATGAATGGGGGGCACCCTAGATCTGCACAAAGGAGACAAGGGCAACAGTGTCGGGAACTGTATCAGTATTGTAGTATTACAATTAACAGATGATCAAGTTACAATTTAAATAAAGGGATCGTGGCTTCAGGGAAGGGTTTGTAAATCCCTATCCTGGATTGCAGCAGTAGTATAACGCCTAATTACGTAAAAAAAATACACGGATTAATTTTTATAGGAATGCATTGCCTTGAAAATGTCATTGATAGGTTGATATACTGATAGGAATTGCATCGAGCTTGTAGATTGCTTTGGGTAGTATGGGCATTTCAGCAATCTTAATACTCCCAAGCCATGAGTGTGGTATATTCTTCCATTTATTTGCATCTTCTTCAGTTTCTTTCTTCTGTATCTTACAGTTTTTCGAGTACAAGTCTTTTACCTCCTTGGTTAAATTTATTTGTAGGTATGTTATTCGATGCATAAAGAAGATATGTTACATGTATACAATGGAATATTACTCAGCCATAAAAATAAGGAAGTCATGCTATTTGCAACAACATGAATGGTAGAGAGTATTATTCTAAATGAAGTAACTCCGATGGAGAAAGACAAATAGTGTATGATTTCACTTATATGTGAAGTCTAAAAAACAAAATAAACTAACAAAACAGAAACAAACTCATAGATACAGAGAACAAACTGGTAGTCACCAGATGCAAGGGGTGCTGGGGCATGGGCAATAAGGATGAAGGGAGTAAGAATTATGAATTACTGGTTATAAAAACAGTCATAGGGATGTAAAGTACAGCATAATAAATATAGTCAATGATATTATAATTACTAGGTATGGTGCCAGATGGGGTGATCACTTTGTAAGGTATATAAATGTCTAATCATTATGTTGTATACCTGAAACTAATCTAATATTGATGTCAACTATAACTGAAAAATTAATTTAAAAAATTTTTTTAAAGAGACATAATATAAAGGCATTGTCTTACATACTTTCCTAGAATGACAGTCGTGTGCATCTTTTCTTCCCAACCGCACACTTCTGTAAAATCTTCCAGATGTTTCTACCCTTAGGTTGTCATGTCACTACAAGAGAAGATATAAATATGGATGTAAGCTTAAGGGTTTCATTATGCACTCTATCAGATTATTTGTGAAAATATGATTAGTGGAAGAGCCCATTATCGTACCATGTACTTGGAATAATTCTTCATTATTCCCATTTTGTTTGATAAAAAGCTGGTTTTTATCCATAAGTAACAGTTTCCCATGAGCTTATGATAATTTAAAGATCTTCAACCAAACATACAGATATTTATTGTCTTCAGTGTACAAGGCATATGGAATCTTTAGCAAAACTTGTTGAAAATAGAAATGTCACACCTGCAGATTCTCTTTTACTTGCATACTAATTTTGCTTTTAAAAGAAAAAATTAGATTTAAACAACTCTACACAGAGACCCACCCTACTTTTCTGCATCTTGTGCTAAATGGGGAGCGGTCAGATTTTACCAAAAGTCAGCCATCCAGCAATCTTTTTTTTGTGTGTGGAGAATAATGCTACTCCCATCATGTCTTTATGCACAAAAGGCTGAGCAGTAGCTAAGCAAGAAAAGCGCTACTTGTAAGTGAAGGGGGAAAACTTAAGAAGGTAAAGCGAAAATATTGCCAAAGAGCTACTCTGGAATGTATATTTATCCAGTTCCTTTAATTCCACTACAGCCTGAGCTCTGTGAAGAAAGGGTGTGCTTTTATTCGCTGCTGCATCCTCAGCATCTGGAAAAGTACTTGGAACCTGTTAGGTGCTTAATTAATAATACTTACACTCTAATAATATTTATGTAGTATATACTATAAGTAATATATACTGTAATAACAGTTATATATTGGGTACTGTAATAATAATAAATGCTTATGAGAATATATAACTTACACAGAAATGAAATAGATACTTTAGTTTGGCATTTATTCATTGGAGGAATGAGACAGTTTTCATGATATATTATTAAAATAATATTTTTGTGTCATTATTGGCTCTTTTAGCCACTAATTAGTTCCTGGCCCCCGTGTGACCTTTGTGCATTGAGGGCAGGATGGACTCCGCCCGTGGGAGAAACAGACTTCCGAGAAGTCAGCTAAGCTGGGGTGTGAACAGACAGGCGTCGGAAATAACCCCCCCTCCGCATGTGCACACCCATGCACACATATGTACCATCGATAGCCTGTGGATGACCTGATCCTAAACCCTACTCTTCTGTCACGAGTTAACCCTCTGATGTTGGCGTGCGGTTTGGGCCGTGAATTCTAGCTTGCCCTTCTACTAACTGCCACAGGGAACCTTCGGTGTCCTCAGCTACTGCATTTACCTCTCACATCAAACGTACCAGCTCATTTGCAGCTTTTCCTATAGCTCCTAAGAAAGATTGTTGGATTTACATTAACATTTACAGAGAAAATGTGACACAGCCGCCCAGTATTGATTGAGGGGTCTTGGGTAACCAGGTACGAACTCACATGTTCTTCATGCAACAAATGTTTGTGAAAGTGTATCCGTCTGACTGATGTTACACCGGGTACTATGGCTGTAAAGCTCTGCCCTCTGGAAGGCTCACGGAGGAGAAAGAGGGACAACCATGTGGTCACAGCGCAGTGTGATGAAACCTCTAACAGGGGGACCTGCAAGGCCCGATGGGCCCAACGGAGTCAGTGACTGCCACAGTGTGAGGTGTGATCAAGGAAGGTTTGCCAGAGAGAAGATGCTTGACCTAAGTCTTAAAAGTTGAAAAGGAGTGTTGTGAAAAGCGTGCCCGTGCCACGGTGGGGTGGAGGGAGCGACGTCAACAGCGTACCTGAGGAAGGGTAGTTTGGAAGGTTCAGGTTTTCCTCACCACGTTACGGGAATTAAAAACGTTGCCGACAGACTACAAAGGAATCTTTAAAATACCTGGGCAAACACTAAGCCCTTGATACTCAAAGTTTGGTCTGTTGACCCCACACGACCCATGAGCAATTTAGAAATGCAGAATGTCAGGCTCACCCCAGACCTGTGGAATCAGGACCTGCATTTTTACAACATCCCCAGATGATATGCATGTGAACTCAAGTTTGAAATATGAAACTGTTTTTCCCTAGAAGATCGAATCTTCTGTTGGAGTTTCGGGACACTTATTAAAGCTGAAACAGATTCTTGAATGAAACAGATTCTTGAATGGTCGTATGAAGACCAATAGGAGGTCTATATTAAGCCTGCGGCTATTTAGCTTCAGAGACTAAATTAGTCCGTTAGAAATTGGCCGCCGTCTACACCCTAGCAGCTGTGACCGGGTGGAGAGTGCACTGGGCTAACATGAAGTCCCAGCGCTTTTCTTGATGAGGTGTATGATCCTAGACAAACCGTTTAGACTCGCCGAACAACAGTGACTGTGTCATTTATACGCACCGCCCACGCGCTGAGCCGTGCTCCAGGCACTGGCATGAGCATCATCGCATTTCCGTATCTGCCAACTGAGGGACGACAATACCTGTCATAGAGGGTGTGCTCATTAGGATCCAAAGAAATAATGTGTATCACAGTGCTTTGCAAGGGATAAATGCAGTAGGTTATGCTTTAAATACCTGTATAGAAAAATACATATTTATAGAGCATCTACTATGATCCAAGACCTGTGATAAATTTACCTGAGTTCAGAGATCTTTGTTGTAATTGAAATAGACAAAGCAAAACATACATTTCATGCTTATTTAAGAAGAGAGATATCGAGATAAAATTAAAAGCAGCACCTACCCCATGAATCACAGAGAATGTGTGACGCTGGCCTTGTGGTCCAGTCCGCCTCAGTAATCCTCTCTGCCTCCCATTCCCCCAGGCATGCGGCAAGGCAACGATCACGGCTCCAATTACCGCTCAGCCATCTACCCAACCTCCACCATGCAGATGGAGGCGGCCCTGAGGTCCAAAGAGGACTACCAGAAGGTAAGACCTCCTGAGCCCCCGGGCTCCTCTGTCAGCCCCCGCCACATCGTGCCCCACCTGTTGAAAGAGTCTGGTTCTTTTCACCTGGCACTGCGTTCCATTTGCACATTTTTTAGAAATTTCTAACAGCCTCTTGGAATAGAGCCACTCTGCTTCATAAATGTGTTAAGTGAGATTTTAATAATAGGCCCATATGCATTTCTCTTTAAAGACAACTCAACATATAGTCTTTCTCCCTCTCTCTTTGTCCTTCCCTGCCTCTCTCTCTGAATTTCTCTTTTCCTTTCTGTATTTGTTTGCGTGGACTGCCATAACAAAGTACCGGCGACTGGGTGGCTTGAGTAGCAGAAATTTATCGCCTCACTGTTCTGGAGGCTGGAAGTCCAAAATCAAGGTGTCGGCAGAGTTGGTTCCTTCCGGGGCTGGGAGGGAAGGGCCTGCTTCAGGCCTCCCTTCTGGGCTTGCAGACAGCTCTTTCTCCTGTGTCCCTCCACACAGTTTAACCTGGAACACTCTCTGTCTTGCTCATAACAGGAGATTGAATTATAATAAAAAATACTTATTGGAAATAAAGACATTATATCATAAAATAATTACCTTCATTATTAACTTGTGTTGTATTTTTAAAATCTCCTCCAATAGAGATTTAGTTCTTGTAAAAATAAGTTGAGTTGCTTTAATTTTTAGAGCTTCATGATAATGTTTAAATTTGAATTATTGTTCTGTTTTCTTTTTTATAGTTATATCCACTTTATTTTTTAAATTAAATTAAAAATTTTTTTAAACTACAGTTTATATTCAATGTTGTTCTGTATTAGCTTCAGATGTACAGCATAGTAGTTAGACAATCATGTACTTTACAGAGTGGTCCCCCAATATTTCCAGTACTCACCTGGCCCCATACATAGTTATTGTATTATTGACTATATTCCCTATGCTGTAGTTTATACCTCTGTGACTTTTCTGTGATTACTGATTTGTACTTCTGAATCCCTTCACCTTTTTCACCCAGCCCCCTAACCCCCCTGATTTGGATTCACATTGAACAACAGAGCCAGTAGCTACTGTAATGCTGATCTGTTTTACAATTATGTAAATAGTCTGTGCTGCAATTCCCAAGAATGTGTGGGCTCTCCACCTATCCCCCATGGTGGCAGAGATGGCAGTGAGACAGAGGCAGGGACAAGAGTACATCTACTGATGAAAAATCAGGAGGACATACAACTTGTCATCAGTGTAACTCTGAAAGCAGAGAGGGCTAAAGAAGATGCTGTTGGGGCACCACATCTTTCCCAGTATGCACCCCGCAAAATCTGTGCTGTCTACCTGGTGATAATAGGAAGTACGCAGCCTCTAGGATGGCCCTCAGGGGTCTCTGGCCACATGTAATCCCCTCTCCTTGGGTGTGGGCTGGATTTAATAACTCACTTCTACTGAATGACAGAAGGGATGGGATGTTACTTCTGAGAGGAGTTTATTAAAGATTGCGACTTCCATCCTGGGAGCCCTTTCTCTCTCACTATCTCTTAGCTTACTTGCCCTGGGGCAAACCAGTAGCCGCGTTGCCAGGCAGCCCTGGGTAAAGGCTCACGTGGCAAGGGGCAAGGCCTCCAAGAACCACTTGGAAAGCTTGGAAGCCCCTCAACCTCAGTCAGGCCTTCAGATGAGATTGCAGCCCCAGCTGATCGTTTGGCTGCAACCTCATGGAAGGCCTCAAGCCAGAGGCACCTAACTAAGCTGTGCTACAGAAACCATGAGATAATAAATGCTCATTGTTTTAAGCTGCTCAGTTTTGGAGTAATTTGAGTATGTTTATATCTCTCTCCTAAAACACTTTTAATTATAAATTATTCTTTCTCATATCCCTTTTCCTCATGACTTTTCTGATAAAGGTGGGGTTGCCTGGACATACATGGTGGCAGCTAGGCATGTAGCCTCTAGCATCATGTTGTCTTAATTTGTATGTCAGCTGAGTAACTTTTTATCAAATTCCTGACACTGAGAAGCCACAAATCTTATCTACTCAAGCAAACCTATAAGGATGAGAGGCCTCATTATTACCCCCATATTTTAGATGCCCAGCATCATAAGGTTAAGTCAGTAGAGTAACCAGAATTTGAAAAATAAGGTGATGCAGAGAGATGAGTTGGGCAGCTGTTACAAGACTCCAGGCCAGAAACGATGGGAGCTCTGCCCAGGGTGGTCAGAGTCTGAACGGAATGAAGGGGTCATCAGGAAGTAGAACTCCTGGAACTTGGAACTGCCTGGGAGTGAAGGATAAATCAGAGGGAAGAGTACAGGGTGACCTGCACTTTTCTGGATAGTGACGATTGTGTGATGGTTTGGGGGAGCAGAGGCAGCTTTGTGGCGAAGGGAAGTTCAGTTTGGAAATGTGGAGTCTAAGGGGCCCATGATATGGGCATCCAAGTGGTTGCTAGAAGACGTGGGCTGTTCTACCTCACAGGGAGGGTGGTTGTGACTATTAACTGGGTTAATGCTTGGAAAGCACAGGGCCCAGCACATAGTAAGTGCTCAACCACTGGGAGCCCTTATTATTAACGAGAGTTTACTTACACTTGGTGTTGATAGAATCCCTTAGGAATAAGAGATGGGTGGAGGAGAAGGCCGAGGCCTGAAAAACACCAACCCGGGAACCGTGGGTGGGGAAATGCCTACTCCAGGCAGGACAACGGTCTAGGCTCGATGGAGAATCAGCCCCAAGAAAGAACTTGAAAATTAGTTCTATGTGGTTTAATCTCACAATATTTAATTATAAAGGCAATCTTAGTAGTTAAAGTTACCTATGATTAATGCTATATATAAATTGCCTGTTATAATGATTCACAGTCCTGTAATACAGTAACACTAAGACACTCTGGAAGGATATTAATTTCCCTCCAGAATATCTCAAAATGAGATTGTATGTTGGCGTTCACAATTAAAATTTTAAGTTCAAAAGGTCAGTGCCTTCGATGTGGTGATGAAGGGGCTGTCTTATACCTAATCTTCTGGTTTCTACCCCAATATAGTTTCTAACCCTTAGCTTTGAATGGAACCCCCATCGATTTCAGACAACTGATATAGATATGAAATAAAATTTAGATATTAATTAACTTTTAATAATTTTTCCATTATTTTTGATTATTTGGTGAACGTTAATCTTATATTCTAGACAGTTGTTCTAACCAAATGCTTTTTGGGTATTCTGTACCTAAGCATATGGGACTTGAAAACATACATTCGTATACATGTACAATTTTTGCTTGGTTTTTAAAAGTAGGGTCTTGTTTGCATAAATATCAGGGTTGCCTGTGTCCTCAGCATCCAGATATTCATTGCTGTTAATTAACATCATCACATATAACTGCTTTATCACCAACTTAGAGAGCAAATACTACCACATTTTCTCTTACTTTATCACATAAATAAAACTGGCCTCGGATTGCACTGAAGGCAGGGGGCATATCAGCCTGGCTCCCTGGCTGGAACACTCAAGATTGCAAGCCCCTCACACTCGTGCTGGCTTGTTGCCAGGACACCGGGCTGCCGCAGAGCCCGGGGCCCCGTGGCCAGCAGAGTGGCTGCGCCAGGAACCGCGCTCTCCTCCTTTCTGGGGAAGGTGCACCGTGCGGGGCCAGGCACCCTGGGAAGAGCTGAGTACTGGGGCCGGAGCCCCAGGGGTCCCTGGCTGAGCCCAGTCAGGTGCAGACAGCTCTTCTGGGTCCGGACGCAGCCGCTGTCCTAGGGCCCCACCCGGAGGCCCAGGCTCAGGACTTACCCTCTGTCCCCCCTTGAGTACCAGGGACTACCACCCCCGCTTTTCACATCTATTCAGTACACCATGAGCGATCAAATCATTCTCCTTTCCAGGAAGAAAAGAACAAAGCGACTAACCACAACACCACCCCCAGGAGCAGGAGGGCTAACTGCCCTGGAACGTGGGTGCCCATCGCGGGCTTTATCATAGTCTGGCTATCATGGAAAACAGAGCCCAGGACAAGGGCTGGTGTGTGAAGACTTACTGTGGCCTGTGGTGCTGTGGAGCAGGAGCAAAGGGAAGGGAGTGGAAAAGAGAAGCAGGGAGAACCGATTCATGGCAGTCCCTGCTACTACTACTGGTAACCAGTTGCTTGGTCCTTATGAAATGACCAGTCACTCTGGGGGAAGAAGGAAAGCATGTGTCCCTTGGGTGCTGCCTGCCATGGGTTTCATGTGCTGCACCTCTGGGTTGCTCGTGTGTGTGGGTTCAGGATCCTGTGTCAGGAGGCAACGGGCACATGGCATGGGTGTGGGGCGAGGTGCCGCAGAGTTATGCCTTCATGAAGCTAATCGGAGTCCATGCAGGGCTGGGCCCTGCAGCGGGGGAGAAGGGGACGGTGAGGCCAAGAGGCTCTGAACTGGGGCACGAGAGGTCGCTGATCAGACGGCCTACAAGGGCTCCTTTCCCCAGCTTGGGCCAAGCAGCCCACCAGCGTCTCAAGGATGGCTCACCATGATTCAGCAACTTCCCGGCACCTCTGTTAGAGCAGAGAAAGAGAAACACAAGTTTAATTTTCAGCAGGAATCCTACTACAATTACATAGTTACATAATACACAGTTATATATGTAATTTATGTAATATATTTATATATGTGTGTAACTAAGTAATAATGATCTGATAATAATAGAATAGCAATAGCAGTACCAACTGAGTATTTACTACATGCTAATCACTGTTTAAAGCACTTTATATAAGAGAAGTCATTTATATGTCTCTGACTATATTTATCTATATACATATATAGATAAAATGGATATGTTTAGATTGAGGTATTTATGTATCTCTCTTATCTTTATGTAAAATTGTGTTCATTCATGTATGTGTTTCTAGTTTGGAAACTTGTATAGATTTCTAACTGTCCATTCAATTCATATAATTAACAATATACACACACACACACACACACACACACACACAGAAATCAGTAATTTGCAATGCCAGTGAGAGCTGATATAATTA